AACCATCAAGAGGAACCCCTGGGGATGACACAATACAACTCCAGAGATACAATTAAGTTGTTTTGATTTCATCAAAACGTTTTTTGTGAATACAAACCTAAAGGAATACTGACGAACTGTTATATTGAAAACTGGTCTTCGGGTACTTTATATTAGGTGTATTTGCACCATGACATTATAAGTATGATATCCAGACTAATTTAAAGCTGCAGGTATAGAGGCAAGCTATGACATTATGGTACCTATTTAGTTCGGCTTGGTCTGGACATTACAATTTCTGACCTGTGGTTAATTGAGAATTTTGACGAGGACGTTCATTACTGATTTGAGGAATGTTTGCAGTCTACACTAAAGTACTGTAATTTGATGACCTGACCCAAACTTGCTTGGACGTCAATTCACAAGATCCTACCACCTCCTTAACGCTGTAGGGTGTTTCATAGACGAAACTGTCGGCAAATCATAATTCAAACCACTTGCATTGCAGATGATAGCAGGGAGTAAATTCACGTTGGTGTAAAACACGCTGACGAAACTGTCGGCAAGTCATAATTCAAACCACTTGTATTGCAGATGATAGCAGGGCGTAAATTAACTTTGGTGTAAACACGCTGTAGAACATTGCACGTTTCTTCCTATTATCATACGTCATCCATGATGGACAGGTTGGATGATCATCTATCGCCACGACTTCATTCTTTAATTAAAAGGAGATTAAACTTTAAAGGGTTTTATGTTCAATTCATGTCTTGAAAACTTCTCCGAGTTCTTAAATAAGATCCGAAAATACTTAATACTCTGCCGCCAATGATGACCTGCTTCGGTAATCAAATTCCATTTTTTAGCACGTGATTCGTGGGCAAGTAATTTATTATTTAATTACGTTGACCAGTTAAACACCCCGCTCACACGGTTCCAGTAATGTTGGCATTGTAGAGATTGGTGTAATCAGTATTGCGTTTCCTTGTCATGAATTTTGTCAAACTGAATTAAACGTTCATGTCAATTCAGGAAATACAGGAGCCTGTTCTGACCGGCATTAATACCTTTCTTCAGGACCACATACTACTAAGGGGGCGGTGGGGTAGTGGTTAAAGCGTTCGCTCGTCACGCCGAAGACCCGGGTTCGATTCCCCACATGGGTACAATGTGTGAAGCTCATTTCTGATGTCCCCCGCCGTGATATTGCTGGAATATTGCTTAAAGCGGCGTACAACTAAATTCACTCACTCACATACTACTAAGGTCTTACAGACTACTTATGATAGCAAAGCTCCTATAAATCGTGTTAACTAGGAAGATGCGTTCCTGGGGCGTGCTTAAAAAACGAACGTGGGTTCGAATCCATCTTTATCTTCAATATATTTCTTGGTTTGTTAGAACCATACTCTAGAGCATGTTGTTTTGTCAATGTGGAATATTTGTACCCAAATGTCACATTGACACGACGTAATATAGACGTTAAAATATGGTACTTGTTGGTCCCTGTCTGGCGCTCGGCATTAATGGGTACAACAAGGACTGGTCGGCTCGGAGTCAGTATAATGTGTCTGAGTGGGGTATTTCTGCTTCACTGCGGTATGGTATCTCAGTGGGCTAGCACTATAAAACCAGCCTCAGTCTGGGCTAGTACAAGCAGGCGCACATACACATACACACGCATGCACGTCGTCATATGAGCGAAATATTCTCAAGCACGACGTTAAACCCAATTTCACCTCACCTCACCTCACAATTTTCTGCAGTACCAGGGCCCTAACAGCATACTTAACGAAAACGATTTTTACTCTACGGTGGCTTTTACAAACATCAGTCAGCCTTTGCTGTGATTATTGTCCTCGATTTTCAAAGACTTTTAAAATCGATATAGTTTAAATCACTCGCGTTATGACTTACAAGATGGATCGCGCTGTAAGATCCATGCAATCTAAGGGCGAAGGGATCAATGGAAGTATGGCTACTAGTGGCTACTGAAGCGTCAGAAACACACATGGGTGACAAAAACACAATCACAATGCTCATCACGGTCTCTGATCTTACATCAGGGGGCGCGGTGGGCGAGCTGTCTAAGGCGCCAGGCTAGTAATGCAGCGAGCTTGGAGGTGCTTGGATCGAGCCCACCTGTGACCGGGTGTAAAAATCCTTGGAGTCAACTTTGTATGCAGATTCCTTCAGTGTTGTCATAACCTCTAGTGTACAGTACACAACCCTGTGCACTTAAAAGAACCCACGAATCCGTTGGTAGATGACCAGATGGTGGCCACATGAATACGTGCAAACACCTAGTTGCGGGTACAGCAACGTGCAGTAAACTTGGACAAAGTACTGTGACTATGTGTCCCAGTCCACCCAACTATGAATGGGTACCTCGTAAGGATGGGAAAGCCACATCGGTGCGCCTAGTAGGCAGCAATAGTTGTATGGTCCCGGGGAGTTGAGATTGAAAATACGATGTGCCGTTGTGATGGACATCCAATGATCGAGGGAAAACAAAGCGCCTTTGAGCAGTTGTACTGGATATCGGCGCTATTCGTGTGTGTGTGTGTGTATGTATCAGTTACTTTCATGTCTTTCATGAATCTTCTATCAATGATGCTTTAAAATACTTTTTATTGCTACAATCTCTAAAATTGGGTAAGTACTAACTATCAGAGTGTTTGAATTGTATCACATTGGGTCATGTGCAGCCGGCAAACTAATTCATTTGATGTGGACATACCATTGTACTTTATTGGATGGAATGTGTAAACCATTAGAGTGTTATTAGTCTTCAAACGTGTTTCAAACAAACACGATACAGGTCTGCGATAAGCACAGGGCGCAGTTAATTATTTTTGTCAAAGATTTACGTTTTCATGCCAAATAGTTCATGTTCTCTGTATGTACTCATGTCGGATAAGGCCGGTTACGTTCTCTTGAACATGATAGTATTTTGGCAGATTCGGAAGCACACAACGAAGTTTGCTTTCAGCAGATTTTTTTATGATTATGGAAATGGTTTCCTAGCTTTTATTTTTTTTCCTTCCAAAATGTCAAATGGTTGTCAAGTTTTTATCAGCTGGCGTGTTTAATCCTCGCATCAGCTTATGGAAATGGTTAGAGGCGAGGTTCGGGATAAAAATCTGTTTATTCCCACGACTTGAGTGGACCTAAAGCTACTAATGATCAATGCTGGAACCCAATTTATTCAGTGTAAGTGCTTGTTAGCTCTCAAAAAGTATTCATTGAGATATGAGTTTTATATAAACTAACAAAACAACGGCCTAATCTGTCATGGTTGACATTAATACACAGAGCCGTGGAACGTAAAGGTTAAATGTCATTTTGATCTAAGGATATTCGTAAAAAGTGGAAGGCAATTAAGTTTCCCTTTTCTTGGTTATGGCAAACGCCTGTCATGAAAGGCCATTGCTTTCTAATCATACGCATGAAAATAGGTCACATCAATTTCAGCGGAAAGCGGAATTGAAAGAGACTAATATTTACAAATAAACATTCTCCCTGCAAAACCATGTGCATTAGTAGAGTCATAGAAAACCCTCATTTCTGATTGAGTCAGAGTGATGTATACTATGTTATCACTTTAGTGAAGTTCGGACATCGTCGTCCATGTAATTCATGAAAAATAGAAAGCTTTCTCGTAATTTGTCGCTGCCAATAGACATTACAGGTGATGGATGCGGGGACCGTTCTTAAAGAGCGTAGCAGAATCAGGATGAATATTTCATCGGTCCATTCACCATCATCGGATGTTGATGGTGTGTAATGATAACACTGTACAAACACCTGTCCGATGTGATTGTCTGTGAAAGGAGGAATCTTGTCATTACCAAATGTTTGATAACAAGTATGGGTGGTCGATACTCCATCAGCCTGTGCAATTTCGGTGTGACATTATTGGTTGCGTCACGCTGCACAGACCCTCAGCGAGACACTGAACTTTATCTTAAGCAGTGCACCTAATCTTTGCCAAGTGAAATATCGAACCCTGGTAAACTGTTAATTAAAGATGGCATGAAGTTTGAAAAAGGTGTATTCTGCGACGATGTTAAACAAAATCTTTTTCGAAGAGGTCTGGATGTCTCGTACACTGCTATAAAGAAGAAACTCCGAGCAGCTGGTGTTAAATCGGTGTTGCAAGAGGTGCCAATATTTGCCTCAAGCCTCTTTCCTGTCACATTTAGCAACATATGGTGTATTCTGAGAACAGGGGGCGATCAATAGCGTCTGGGGAAACACATCGGGTTAACATGAGTTTGGAAGCGCTGAGGATAACCTGGGGATAATCTTTGATTTCTGCCATTACCATTGCAGCGATATCAGCTTGCCTTAACAAAACCTCCAAATGAATTGACATCTAGAGATTATAGGCATCACCGTACCTTTCATCTGACTGTATGAGGATGGGATCTGATAGATGATGTCCTCTTTGAAAGTAATATTACCATGGTAACCCTAGCGTTATCGATAAGAAATTATGGAGACTTTGTAGACAGTTTAATGAAGTTCAGTGTACTGGAGGCAGCAGAATAGATCAATAATAGCTCAAATGCTCATATAGCTTAATGATATAAACAAACAGATGATGAGAAGATGAAACATGTGAGCATCTCGGAGAATGAGATTACTATTGCAGATAGCTCTGTTAAGCTTCTCTTAACTTTCATGCTGGATAACTTGCATAAAACAAAGTGCTTGAGAGACGGTTTTTTTGACTATGAAATAACAAACATGTATTGCCACAGTATGGGTGTGTCAATACAAGTACAATTTGAATATTTACACTTTGCAAATAATCTGAAAAAATGCATACTTGGACGTGCTTGATAGATGTTTTCGGCATCGTGACATGACATAATATGGATCGATTTAATATCTATCCATTTACACACCGCGGACCAAAAACCAATAAACGCATCACATCAAACCAATAGCAGAGTTATTGCTGTTGTCGGTAAGTGGCGTTTGAATGTTTTCAGCTTTTCAATCACGTTACATACCTTTGGAACTTTCTGGCATCCATTGTTAGACATAGATGTCCGCAGATCTACAGTCAACATTCAAATGGAAGATGTTTTCACTGTAACATAAACTTCAGCGTTGTACGCGGAACAAAGCACTCATCTTCCCGTTGTGTCGTCTGCTACAAAATCAGGCGACGCGTCATTCGCCGTGCAGGGAGATTGTGACGTCGCAGATAGTAGGTCGTTGAAAGGTTAGTTTGTCGCAGCGCCCTCTACCGATATCGATTTAGGGACGTTCGTGTGTTGTGGTGACTTTCCGTTTAGGGGATCTGAAACTTCTGATAGCTTTCTTCAAGGGAAGTAATAAAGTGTGAATTGCCAAGCTGGTATGTGCAAGGAAGGGCTGAATGGGCATCAGCTGTCCATTGCTATCTTCATTACAAGCTTATGAACAGGCTGAATTAAATTACGCTTGTATCCCATAAATCTTATAGTCGTATTAACATTATGTAAACAAAGTTGAAGAAATATATATGTAACTGAACACATTCAAATTAAATGAATAAATTCGTTATGCAGTTACCTCAGAAAAGATGTGAAATTCATAGCAAAGAGCTAATCACTCTGTAGAGACAGTTAATTTAGCCTTGTGGTAAAGCATAACGCAAGAATTCAGGTTTCGATTTAAATTGGATGCAATAATGTATGAGCCAGTTTGTAGTGTTCCCCAAATGACCTGTTTGGATCAGTCCGATGCTCATGTATCTATTGCATTCACACACGAACTATCAACGCTTAATGTCATAGCCGCAGGTTCTTGGATTATATTCTCTTTGGACTCGTGTTCATTAAATGCAGACACATGCTTCATAATGTGAAACCTCTTTAATCCAATACCTATGCTTTGAAACAGTCATGATTACACAATCTGAGAATGATGTCGTTTTTATTTTATAGAATATTTGTACGTAAAACGTCAATGCCAGTCTCAATTATCCGACGACGCAGCTTCCATTGGGTTTACAAGGTTCGATGACAATAATCGCCCCTAAGTATGGTTTCCGGTTTCTCGAGGGTTCAGTGCGGATCGAGTAAGCGATGTTACAAATGAAACGATATTTACAAAATATTAACTGTTTATAGAATAATGATAAATGAAAACCTTTTCTCTAAAGATACAACACACCGACGGTATTATATTTCGAAGACACCCAAAACTATCCACCCGGACGTTCGTCCTTCCATTATTAATAATTATCCATAAATGTATTTTTGAGTTTATATAAAAGCGTTCATAATAAACTCATAACTTGTAATCTAGTGTCTATGTACAATATCAGACCTGTATTATAACACCTGTCTACTATCTACGCATAATATCATGAATATGTTCAATCAATGTTAGTTGTCAGCAGAATAACAAATCCGTCGTTGTTTCCAGCCAAAAGCGTAAATATTCATTTCGACGTAAAATAACATTATTATTTTTCTTCAGTGTGGGAATGTATTCCCTGATGTGAAAAACCCAATCTTAGATTAAGCACACTCATAAAAATGTCAACTTGATTTTTCTTCACCTGTATTCATTCTAACAAGAGATCCAAGTTTCTAGATGCAGAAAATAGGTTACACTATGAGGTGAATTTCTTTATCAATTCGTTGAATTTTTCGTATCTGTTTTCCGCTCGCCAGTTGTCTTGCTGGTTGTCATTTGAGATGAAGCTATCCACGCAGATTTGTCTGTATACTATATTATACCAGTAATCATATGTGGTTCTGTAACCAGGCAGAACGTAACGCATTGGTGATCAGATCAATAGGGCATTATGTGACATGGGAATGACGGACTCGCTGAGATTCACCAGATAAAGGTATATCGTGACTGTTTGTTATCTGAAGCTCATCCCCAGCCGGCATTACGCTTGCCATCTGGTCATCAGCTCACCACACTGTTGCATGGATGGGGATATTGGATCGATGCATCACCTGGGTGTCCGTGGACACGGATGAGATGACGATTAGAACAATGATTGGGTCATCCGTAGTTGTATATTGTTCATCTCCTGCTTTAACCAGCAAGAGAGAGGGCGGGCGAAAAATATTATAAATACTAAGAATGTTTTTCACTAAATGTGAAACGTATTATTTACGAAAGTTTAAGACTGACTGACTGAGTTTGGTTTTACGCCGCTTTTAGCAATATTCCAGCAACATCACGGCGGGGGACACCAGAAATGGGCTTCACACATTGTGCAAATGTGGGGATTCGAACCCGGGTCTTCGGCGTGACGAGCGAACGCTTTAACCATTAGGCTACCCCACCGCCCCGAAAGTTGAAGACCACTTGGGAATAGAGTGAGTGAGTTTAGTTTTACGCCGCTTTTAGCAATATTCCAACAATATCATGGAAGGGGACGCCATATTGGCTTCACACATTGTACCCATGCGGGTAATCGAGCCCGGGTCTTCGGCGAACGCTTTAACCACTATGCTACCCCACCGCCCCTAAGATTTTCAGCTAATTAATGATATAAAATGAGTCGCTTTGCTTCTGAAACATATTTTAAATGAAGAAATAACACGCTCGTCTGTTCTTTTTGAAACTCAGCACGACATGAGACTCTGAGTCTTTCTTAATCATCAATTTCCACAGCGACAGGATAAATGAAATATAAAACTTATTATCTTACGTGGCAATTGAACTTAAGGTGGGAAGATGGGAACAGAACAATATAGATTATTTACAGTAAGACAGCTAGTATGTTGCAAGACCGCCTGTTTGACCTTCATGACCATGATCTCTTCTTGTTCCACTGGTGTGCTGGAAGGCAATGGTGTTGTTCAAACAGACGGACTTTCATATCGATATGAGTCTTGTCGGTATATACTTGCTTTCTCTGTGGCTGGGCTTGATTTGACGCCGTTGTGTTGAAACTGTACATATTACTTGTAAATGCTCCTGTAAATAAATGGCAAAGGTTTTCGTGTCTTAGAATGATAATTGATAGAAATACAAACATGTATTTTGGACAACCCTTTATGAACTATACTGAAATATACTAACGTTTTTAAAAGTATTCGGGAAGGTGTACTGGTGAGTGAGTGAGTGGCGATTTACGCCGTTTTCATCAACATGGCAGTAATATCACGGCATGTCTACTGACTGGGGGAGATCGGCTTAAAGGGAAGCATGAAAGACACGAGAAAAGGCATGCTGTCGACAAACCAGAAACATGGGATTCGATAGAAGGTGTCTGGTATACCTAATGGACGTTATCTGTACCAGTTGTGTAGCCAAAGCAATTTGTGCTCATGAAATTGAACTAACAAGGCCAAATAATATTTGACACAATTTTGGCATGGAGTCAGCCATCAAACAGTTCTAGTTTCCATTATTGTCCAAATCTATCATAATAAAATAACCACTGATACAAAAATCCTTTGTCCCATTCTCCTCCATATCCACAAATCCCTGAGAGGTCAGAATGACCTTCACACTACCCACGACCGCCAGAAAATGATATTGCACACATTACTTCAACAACGAAGACAGCAACGACTAGCTTATAAATGAATTGAAAATGTTGTCAATGTGTTTTGAAAACTGGACATATTCTGGACATATCATTGCCTTTGGATACTTTACTGACAATGGACCATTTCCCACGAGCTAAGATCCGATTCCTTGGGAAATGTACAATTAAAAATTGCCGTAAACTTTGAAATATATGTGTCGAATTTATCAGATATATTCAAATGTCTGACAGTCAGCCTATTTTTCTTACGCTTCAAAGTTGTGGACGCCTTTCATAATGGAAAACATTGCTGCGTTGGTTACAGCTGTCAATTGTTCCAGTAGGTGACATCAAAGTAAGTGAGTGAATTTAGTTTTACGTCGCACTTAGCAATATTCCAGCTATAAGAAGGCTGTCTGTAAATAATCGAGGCTGGACCAGACAATCGAGTAATCGAGAACCGATGACATGTATCAACCAAGTCCGCGAGCCTGACCACCCGATCCCGTTAGTCGCCTCTTACGACAAGCATGGGTTACTGAAGATCAATTCCAACCCGGATCTTCACGGCTGTATAGAGGATGAAAATTAGAAGTACAAATATATTCTTTAAGTGAATATGTAAGTGAAATATTTGATATAGCATAAATAGTTATCTAATGTATCTGGAATAGACCCCATTCTGAAGATCAATTGTAACTCAGATCTTCACAGGTAGACATCAAAGAAAGATGATGGCCTGGGACTCATCTGCATCTTCAAAGAACATGTATCACGAACGACTTTCACATGTCTTTGACACGTATTTTATTTACGAATCTGAATAGATGGCCAAAGATTTGCTTTTTTCAAAATACATTATTATGCTCGTCAAAACAATTTAGGGAACACTGTTATTTTGCGGCACTATTCGTTTGATTCCTTTTAAAGTTAGGAAATGAGAGACTACACTTACAAACGTCACCTGATGACCAGAACAAAGAATTTGAATCATAATAGACAATTTGACATTCATTCTTTTTCATGGACATTTTGGGTTTGATCTCTCTCTCTAACTCGGAGCTGCCGTAAAAATGGAGAACGTGCATTTGCTCACATATCCTCACAAAGCACGAGCCATAAGCAATGTGTGCGCGAAATGTGGCTTTACAAAGGCAGGTCGCTGTGAAAGTGTATTAACTTGTTCAACATGCCGCAAAGTCGACACCTCACGATTGAAGAACGAGAGAGAGCTTTTGGATGGCTTGAGGGCGTTTCACAGAGGGAAGCTGCTCTGAGGTTAAGTGTTAGCCCATCCGTCATCTGCAGATTCCAACAAACCCAGACAGTATGTGAGAGACCAAGGTCAGGACGCCCTCGTGTCACAACAGGAAGGGAAGACCGGTACCTCGCTGTTGAAGCTTTCAGGAGGAGAACCGCCACAGTAAATCATCTTCGACGGCACCTGAGAGCTTCTACAGGAACAAACGTCAGTGACCAACCATAAGGATCCGTCTGTTGGAAAGAAACTTCCGGCCCCGACGTCAAGCCGTTGGACCACGTCTTTTCCCGCTTAACAGAACAGCCAGAGACGCATGGAGACGGCATCACCGACAGTGGACAAGACAACAGTGGTCAGCAGTTTTTTTCTGTGACCAATTTCGGTTCTAACTGCACCAGAATGACGGGCGTGTTCTTGTCTACAGACG